CACCTGTTCCTCATCTGTTCATTTAGCCATTGTGCTATGGTCAGTAATCAGACTCCCTGGTATATATTCAGTCGGTTCAGTGTTAATTAAACCCATCTTTATTCACCACACTTGTTGTCTCAGACCTGCAGTGGCTCTTCAATTAAACTGAAACCCAACATACAGATAAAGACTTCTATTAGAGCATCTCCATAATGCTGAAGCAATCTCTTAAGATAATGTATAATTAGAAAAATGTTTATGTAATTTTAAATTTTTCCTCACAATATTATCACATTCTAAATACATGCAGGTCTGCACAGCTCATTGTTTTTACCTCAGTCACTTCAAGAGAAATGAAGCATTGTTTCAATAAGCTGCAGGGGCAAAAACTAATTTTTCACGTCTGAATACATTTCCTCTGTGTGATAAATGTCTCTTCATGCCTGGAGTTGTGCTTTGCCAAAATAACCCTTTTCCCTGCTGAGACACTTTGCTGAGGAGCTCAGTAAAACTCTTAAGCACTGATTCGACCTGCTGTCTTAACACATCAGCATCAAGCACAGCTGCCATCATAATTCACAGCAGTAGGCTTTCGCGTGTTTGATTCTTTCATCAGTTTTTTTTTTCACTTTAGGGAGTTATTTGTGAACTCTTTGTTTTTGTAACAGCAGCAACAGATTTAGATTGGACTTGGAGTGCCAAGTCCAACCTTGGCAGTCTGAGACTGGGACCTATGTCCTGCAGCTTTTAGATTCATTCCTTTCAACACACCTGAATCAGATGAATGTCTCATTACCAGGCCTTTGCGGTGCTGAATGCTGATGTGGAAACTCAGGGTTAAAGCTCTCTAAGTCTTGATTTGGGTGCAATAAATAGACCTAAAATGTTGAAATACCAATATGATGACATGTTTAACCCTTGTATGTCGAAAAGGGGTCCAACCGACCCCACACACGTAAAACCTGTATCATTTTCCATAGACCTCTACGTTTGCCTCAGTCCTCGCACGCACAAGGGTTAAGCTTAAGAAATAAGAATCAGTCTGTCAAATAATGATGAAATTATGTTCATGGATATTGCATATTATGAGCTTTTAGATCTCCTGCAATCTTGTATTTGGTGTCTGGTGTTCTCCTCTGTCAGAAAGGATTTGGTGAGAGAGACCAAATATTGAGTTTCCAGTGATGGCTCCTCTACCAGGAACTACTAATATGGATAATCAGGAAAAAAAAAAAAAAGTAAGGTGGACAGAATGAATCCATTGAGGAAAGTTCAGCCTGATGGTTGTATTCAACAAAAGGTCACAAGCTGACTGAAATCAATTCACATCAGTCATAAAAAGGAAAAATGTTTCCAAAAATCCATCAACACAATTAACAAGCAGATGTGTTGCAGTACCAGAAAAGGTTCACCTTTAAGCCATAAAATCCTCATGCGTCATCTGTGCAACGCCAAGCTGTACAGATGATGGGGATTACTGGTGTTATTGTTTCAGCAGTCGGATTTCATAGGGCGAGGTACCTTAACTACAGTCGCTTAAACTTGAATCATAATAAGCTAACTCAAAGTGGGCCGTGACCTCTTCAAAACTCATTTCACTGTGCCTTCAGAACATGAATCTGTCTGCATTATTGATGGATTGTGCTCTTACAAAAACATACTTTTTTGCCCTGCTGACAACGATGCTGCATCATCTTGTATACTGTTTTGTTTGTCCTTTGAAAAACAAATTCTGGTTCAGTTATAAAAAAAAAAGACTTCAACTTAAATAAGTAAATTCAACTTATCTGTAGATAAGTTGAATTTACAGTTTGTGAAATGTTTGGTCAGGTTTTGTCAGACTTGCATTGGGATTGAATATGCGGTTTACTGTCACAGTTTAAGGCTGCTCTGCATTTTCCCAGCCTGCAGTGAATGCATCCTTCCTCCCACCTCATCCTCATCCTGTTAATTACTTGCACCTGTGCCTGTCTCTACTTGGCTCCCCAGAACTCCCCAGCCTCCTCCCAGATCAGCTGCTGCCTTCTACTCTCACCTCCTCTTATTCTCAGTGACACATGTACAGATTGATCATTTCTACTGTCACTTTCATCATTATTCCAATAGAAATCACAAAATATTAATATATGGTGTCCATATTGTTTGTCCCTGATCTCATCCTACTTTAGTTTTCAAACCTAAATGATTTCCTTCAGCTGAATATGATTTGTTGGAGTCCCATAACCACATTTCTTTACAATAGAAAGGGAAAATACGCTAAAAAACATTAAGTCATCAATTGTATGAAATGTCTCCAGATATGTACGAATTCGAAGTGGCCGATGCAACTTGGTTGATGACGGGCAGCTCTTGTTTTGTACCCAAAGTCACCACAACTTGACCAAGACTGCAAAAGTATAATACAGGAAAAGATTGAAATGACCAAAATGTCTCTCTTCCTGCCAGGTTTTGTCTGATAATAGTTTTTTATTTTTTCCCCCAGTCCTGCTGCATAATGCCATCCCCTTTGTGGGATTTGGATTCTTGGACAACTGCATCATGATTGTTGCTGTAAGTGTCGGCATACTAAAATAGTCCCAAGGCATATTTATGTTTAAACGAACAATGTGTTTACTAAGCATGAATGCATGGAGTTTACAGATTTACTAGCTTTAGGTAAGTACATTTCTGTTGAGCAAACATATTCCTGCTGAGTGAGCAGAACAAAGGGCTTTAGTTGGTTTTTGAATTTCTCTCTAGGGGTGTGTTTGATCATCACAGGGGTTGGTTGTACAGAAAGTTGTTTTCTTCTTATTTCTTATTCTAAATGTAGCTCATAAAAATATAAATGGAAGACATGATAATAAAAATGCATATTTTGTGTATTTCCCACTTTTTGAGAAAAAAGTAAACCTAAAGTTGGATTGCACTTGGATCCTCCTGAGGTTTTTACTTTAGTTCATACTGAAGGAAATTAATGCTGCCTGAAGGTCTTATTTTTCTTTTTGGACATTAAGCTAGTTACTGAGACTGAAACTCCTCATCCTATTCTAAAACGAGATTCAAAAAGGCTATTTAAAGTTTAAGGTTGTGTCTGAGGTATGCTGTACAAATCTGCAGGCTTATGGTTTACCATACAAAGAAAATTAATAATCCCTCCAGTAACCTGTGTTATTGTTTTCTCAGGGCACACAGATTGAGTTATCCATCGGTGTGGTTCTTGGCATTTCAACTATGGCAGGTAAAATATTTGCTTGGCCCTTTTTATGTTCTTTTCATCCTAACTTAAACTTTTTTAAAAAAATTATCAGACATTATATATTTAGAAAAAGTAAGCCCCCTTCAGAAAGATCTCTTCAGGGAACCAGACGATTTCTCAGATACATCTATAATGATATTTTCTCCACAGCGCTGTACCTTCGCTCACAGACGTGATCAAGATCTCATGGTGGAGTTGATGTTTGAAGTTGTTGTTGCTACAGCAGCAATTGATCCACTGATCTTTTGTCTTTCCCGCTGAGGGTTTCTGTGTTTCTGTTGTTCCAAGTTTGGTAATCCTCGGCATTCAGGGTCACAAGTAGCTGAGACGACAGCAAGCAAAGGAACAGACTTCATTTCTCACTTCCACAGCAATGTTAAAGCTACAGAACAAATTGTTCACCTTAACATCCTCTAAATCGAGGTTGTTGATTTCTTTCTGCGCCAGTAGAGATAAATTAGATGTTTAGAAACAATTCAATTCATGTTTGAGTCCGTTTCATAAATTATTTCATCCTTTTGCTAAAATTATTCCTGAAGTTTAGACCATCTGAGTGCTTTATGATACGTTTTGTGAAAATGAAATGGTTTTGTTTTCTCAAAGTGTCCAGAGAATCGATAGTAATTGTTTACCTTGAACTTTAAACCCACAACCTCAGCTTCATTAGCATGTTTTAATGACATCGCCAGGAGAAACGCTACACCTTTTACCTGTCATCCGTGTATAGCTATTCTGTAATTACTCCTCGCATTTTTTATATTTTTTGCAGCTGCTGCTCTTGGCAACCTGGTATCTGATCTGGCAGGACTGGGGTAAGAGCTGTACACATGCACGCATGACACAGATGAGGGTATGCTGAACAAAGCTTCATTACATATTAAGTGCATGAAGTGGTATAAACATTTATGGTTTGTTTGAAGATTATGTCACAAATATGGATTCTTTTTTTTTTTACAGATTTCCGTGTCTAATGAAAAGAAACTATATTTATAATGCATCACAAAACGAAATATGCTAAGCACTTGAAAAGTATTTACTGTATACTCAGAAAATGACATTTGTGAATAGGAAAGTAAAAAAAAAAGATATGTATACATGATTACAGAAGAACTCTTAAGACAGACTCGTGTTGCTCTCTGTTGAGGTCCATCAGTGTAAGAAGCTCATTGTTTGCATTTCCTAATGCCAAGTGAGCTTGCTAATATTTTTAGCGCCTTCTAGAGGCAACATTAGACCATGCGCCATCATAAAGCAAAAATGGTTGAGGCATCAACAGTCTTCTCGTGTTTATTTGTTCTTATTTAAAATATACAACAATTGAAGGCAATGTGAAGATTGGGGTCATGCTGTTGCATTTTATACCTGCCAGCTTGATATATTAGTCAACTTGTCTGAGGCTCTCAGTGGACAGGCATGGCTCTGCTGCCATTCAATCATATGACAGACAGAGTTCGGGTGGTCAGTTCGTCAAGGTGAGACTTGATGGGACCTGCCCGAGTTCATTTTTCTGTTCCAGTTTTGATGGATTCGTGTCGGTGTGTGTGTTGAAGGCTTTTTATCAGTTTCTCAGTGGACTGCTTTAAACACTTCAATTCATTTGCATAACAGGCTGCTTTTGTTTCAATAACAGCAGGTCTCAAGTGTGGGCTTCTGACTAACAGAAGATCTTCACTTTAGCTCCTCTGAGTCACCGGTCCTTTAACGGCAGCTCAGAAGGGGGCCAAGTTAAGCCACTAATCCAAGAACAAAAAGAAAACACACAACTAAGTTCAGTGTCATTAGACGCTGATGGCATAGCTAATTAGATGTAAAATGATTCCTGTGCATTTAACTTGCACATACAAACATTGGAGATAAATATATTATTATCGGCTTTTGCTTTTATTCTTTTTCGCCTCCCTTCTTACTATTTCACATTTTTCCTCTTTAGCGTGCACTGCTTGCTACTGCTCTTAAATGGCTGGACATAATTTGCTTAAAAACACAAATGTGAAAGACAATAGTTTCTTTCATTCTGTAAGCAGACAATCTAAATCAACAGTAAAGTGTGGGGTTAACACTGATCAGAGATATTGTGGTAAATTTCCAGTCATTGATTTTATAAACCTTTGACCTGTCAATACTGATTTTATCAGATTGCAAATAACAACAAAACAAAAAAGTTGGCATCACTAACTGTAAATATAATCTCTGTTTATGTTCCCTGTGGAGATAGACTCATCACTAGCTGGATGTAAAACAGGTCATAGTTGGCATTTTTTTTCAGGCAACGTGCTCGTGATGAGTTGAAACTGCTTTCACCAGAAGGGTAATTACTTCATCTAATTATCCTAAATGAAGTAATCAACACATGGAATGAAATACTGCGTATTTGGACAAAGCTGCTGGGTTTCAGTTTTTGCTGCAAAAGCTCAGTGTCGGGAGTGGTTTTATGTCATCTGCACACTCTGAGTTGAACCACAGTTACAGGAACAGAAACGAGTGTCAGTAATTAGTGATCACATCCTTCGTCACCTGTTTTCCTCAGACAGTGACTGCTTGCCTGTTTCTGTATGTTTTCATCTGTGTTGGGACCTGCGGTGAGCAAACTGTGCTACTCTAATCCACATATGTTCTGATTTGTTCCTATAGACCTCATGTTTCCATCTCCTCACTGCATGTTTCCATTGACAAATGGCAGAAATTACTCCACTAATACTCTATAATTTTGCTCATGAGTCATTGTGACCATTCGGGCTCATTGGTAGCGATGCTGCCTCCAGGCTTCTCTTTCTCTTTGCGTTTCTTATGGACACAATGCATCAGTGGCTTTCTGGGGCAGACGGTCCAGACGGCAAAGCATTATTGCACTCAGCCAAGGCTGACAAAACGAGATGAAAACTCAGGGCTCCCATTACTAAACTCTGGGGAACAAGTGGGAGGCAGTGGCTTCTTTTTTGACCCAGATACATTAACTTTCTGTTTCATTTCATAGTCCATCCACTCACTGACCTGATGCTGAGTCACAGAAAGTAGATGGATGACATGGCACACATAAACAACAAAGTTGTTCCATTTCTAAGATTTTATTTCTGTGTAGCAGGTGATAAACGGTGGTATTAAAGTTTATTGGTCCCGTGATATGTAGTATTTATCTTTTGAATCTCAAACGTAAAAAAAGAAAAAAACCTTTCCCCTGGAGATGGGCATCAGGAACCCTGCAATCCTGCTGATAATCAATGTATGGATGTTGTTGTTTTCATTACTTGCAGTTATTTTATCTGAGTTTAATCTCAGGAAAAAAATTCAGAGGATGAATGAACTCCAAGTGAGATGTGTCAGAACAGCCGTATTGAAACTAGAAACCACCTTTGAACCTGTGCAGGTGCAGTTCCCTCACTTCTGTCTCTAATAATAACACCGTTAATGGAAAATATTAGGATTTATTACACAGTCTCTCCAGTTTTCAAGCTGCTTTTTGCTTCCCTGTTGAACAACCTCTCATGTTGAGGGATGGTTCTCAGCAAAGGCATTCAGGAAATGTCATCATCTCATGATCAGTGTGGGTACTGCTGTTGTATTTCATTTCCTGAGCGTTTCTTTCTCCCCCTGACTTCTGTGGCCTATCGGACTGAATTTGATTGTGCAAAAAAAAATGCCCGATTTGTTGTGGGGTTGTGGAGATTTAAAGTACGGGTTTGCATTTATGGAACAAAGTGGTATAGAATCAGACCTAAAAAGTTGATCTCTCAAATATTTCTGCACAACTTGATGAAACTCGGTGGCTCTCACAGTCCTGTCTCGGCAACAACGGCCACCGTGGGGCTCCGCTATCGTCTTGTCAGAAGCGGCGCTCGCTGCTATCAGTCCTCCAGCTCGACGGCTCCAGCTGCAGCTCATTTGTGTGAGCAGTGAACTGAGAATCCATTAGTCCCAGTCACTGATTCAACCCCACAGTAACGGTACGTCAGAATATTCACTCAGATTCCTTTCCTCACTCACAAACCGCTGCATCTAAAGCCCAGAATCCATCACACATGGCGACTGTCCATAAATTTGGTTCTGACGATCTGCTATGCGTGCATGTTGGCATGTGATCGCACATTTAAGCTGAAACTCTTAGGCTTCATCAGAAAGTAGCTTTTATTCATTTCATTTTATTGGACTCATCTGTCACTAGAGCGGCGTCTGAGTTACTTCAATCCTTCAACATTTCTATGCCGAGAACCTCTGCAGCTAAAAGGTTCCGGATAAACTTCCCATACAGCTATTTAAACATCTGACAGAAATGTCCCTCATTAAAGATTCCTGGGAGTTTTAAACTGCAGTTTCACTGATTTTCTGGCTGAAATTCAGGAATTTCTCCCAGTTTTAAACCTGATTTATGGCTTGTCATCATTTTTACTGCAGAGCTCTCCTTCACTTCAGACTCCCATTTGTGTCCTGAAACCCAATGTGAATTGAGGGACCTCATAAACACAAACATGATATTTTGTCTGTTGACAAAACTAATTGTAAAAACTGAAATGTAGAATTTTGGAGAAAACATCATTTTTTTCCCCCATAAAAATAGCCAAAACTAGATCAAATATGACCTTTATTTATTTTTTTTCTCTTTCCACAACCTCAACACATGTTAGCAATAAACATCCAGCGCCATGTTTCCGATGCATAAATACAGAAAACCTGTTGAGTGTAGGAGTTTCATTATTTATATCCAGATGAAACTAATAACGCTGTTCCAATCAGGTTTTCCTCCGCCAAGTAATTTAACGCACCAAAATGAATTTAATACTCCCCCAGACTTCTTTTCTGACTTCTTCCTCATGTTGACATCCAGCTGCGTTCCTGACAGGTGATGGTCACGGTGAGAATTACAAGTAGGGAATGGCATTGTTACTACAAAATCCTTCAAGTTTCCTTTTTTTTCCCCTTCTTCTCTTTAGGCTGGCAGGTTACGTGGAGGCCTTGGCGTCTCGACACGGCATGCAGATTCCCGAGCTGAGTCCGAAGCAGGCGGATATGTGGCAGACCAGGGTCAGCTGTCACACGGTTTGTACGCCAGAGTCGCTTTTATTAAAACACCCACATCAAAGAATATTCCACTTTCGAGTTTATGTTTGGAAAATATTGCACATTTTGGAGGTTTTTCTCCTTTAAACAAGTCAGGTGTAAAACATAGAAAAGATTTACAAAATATGGAAAAACTTTTATCTTTGGAAAGGTCTGAAGCTACTGAAGAGATGTAATGCGGTGAAAGTGGAATTTTTTTATTTTTTATTTTTTTAAATTACAGTTTTATTACAGTTTTGAGTCACAAAGTATAATACAAAGAGTGTCGGAGTAATGAGAATGATTCTCACTCCATTACTCAAAAATAATAATAATGCATAAAAATCCATTTTGAACCTAGTCAAGGATGAAACACCCGCATCAAAAACATTCTACTTTAGAGGGGGGTTTTTTTGTTTTGTTTTTGGAAAATATTGCATATTGTAGGTTTGTCTTCTTTTAAAAAATCTGACTTTTTTGGTAAAAAAAAAGTCCTAAAAATATTTTTTTTAAAAAATATTTACAAAATATGAAAAACTCTGGAATGGTCAGACGCTGTTAAGATTTAACGCAGCGAAAGTAGAAAATACATTAATATTGAATTTTTGTAATAGTTTTATAAAATGTCCCATTTTAGGAGGCAAAGTAGATTGCTTTGACACTTTATTGGGTTTTGCCTCTTGTCCGCAGGGTAAAGCCATCGGTGTGGGTATCGGCTGCATCCTCGGCATGTTTCCTCTTCTTTTCTTTTCTGACGATGATGAGAAGAAGGAAGGACAGAAGGAGACGAAGGATGAAACCCCACCTGCTCCAGCAGGGAGCAGCAAAAACTGACCACCTCCAGACGGATACTCTTTGTAGTCCTGAAGAAAACCTGAAAATCTGTTTGTGAGAACTGACTGGGTCTGTCCTCGCCGTCTGGAGAGCATGAGAACGGACTGTTCTCCAGACACTTCCCAAGAAACAAACTGTCAGGGTATTCTGAGGAGGATTTTACTTGACATATTTGACAAAAGCACAGGAGACTGGTTATGTGTTGGAAGAGTCCAGACTGGAAGGCTGCTAAATCATAACACCTGCTGATACAGACCCTCACCTCTGCTTTAAGTCTGTTAAATCACTTCAGTTTTAAGCACAGACCTTATTTATGTCATGAGATGGCAGCTCGGCTGACTGAAAGTTGGATGACTGTTTAAAACGTTGCAGCAGAGTTTGCAGCCGGTTTAAAGACACAAAACACTACTAAAACATATTCCAACATAAGCTTTGTTATATATTTTTGCATCCAATTATCGTCGACTCATTTAGTTTATTTATGTTAACGTTATGCTTTTGTTATATCTTACCCAATGAGCAAATTAGTCCAAGTCTCTGTTACAGTTCATACATCTCGTATAGTTTCAGGGTTTTTTTTACGTCTTGCTAAAGCAGTAATTCATGCGCACTGGCCAACTACAACCTTTGGAAAGCCTTTAAGAGGCAGTTTAAAGAGTGTGTTGAAGTAAGGAGGTGAGTTTACGTCTATCTCGAATACTGTTTCATTTGTCTCCCTCAGCTGAACAGAAACAGCCTGGAGTTTAACCCGCTGTTTCCTCCCGTACCGCCGTCATAATTTGAGCTCTGCTGCCCTCTGCTGGCCAACGCACGACTGACGTTTTCTTCTTGCCTCTTCACCAGTCCGACTCATGGTTTTCCACCTGCGCAATTGATCTGAAGTCGATCATCGTTTCCCTCAGCTTAAAGTTAACTAACTAGATATTCAACATGTTGTTTTTATGTAGTTGTTTTTTTGTTTGCACATGATGTCCATCTCTGGAATATTAAAATTGAAGGAAGCAACCAAATACAGAGCTGTAAAAAAAATATATATATATATTTGCCCCCTTACAGAGTTTTTCAGCTTTTGCTTTTTGTCATACTTTATTTTCAAAAAGTCAAATATTACTTGAGTAAAGGCAAAAGGGGTGTTTCAAATGATGATTAGATTTATTTAGTGTGGAAAATCTGTCATAACTAAGCTTGCTTCCTGTGGGATAAGTAATCTCTCCCTTGTCACATCATAAATTAACTTTAGCTAACTTTTTTTATTTTTGCAAAGTTGAAGACAATTTACTCACAGACACTGTCAGACTTCTAGAATCAACAAGTCACTTAAATAAAGCATGTCTGAGTGGTGAAATTTGACCATTAGGTCTTTAAAATCAACATTTCATGCCCTGATCTAAAGTTGATCAACAACTGAAGAGAAATGATGTCACTAAGATTTATCAGTCTTGAAAGATTTACAAAGTTAAAGATGGCAGTGTGGTAGTCTGTGGCTGCATTGCTGCTTCAGGAACTGGGCCGTAATTAATGGGACCAGGATTTTTTACCATCAGTAGAAGATTTTTCCTTACTTCCTTATATAATCTTGATAGAGAATGTCGGGCCATTGGTTTGTAACCCTGAGATAAAACAAATTTTAATTTTATGTAGCAGGGTATTTATCCAAAGCACAACAGCAGGTCCAGCTTAGAACCACTCAAAGAAAAAAAAAAAAAAAAGAGAAACAAAAGGACAATTCTAGAATAGCCTAGTCAAAGTACCAATATTAATCAGATTTGGATGTGGTTGCATGACCTTAAACAGGCCACTGATGCTCAAAAACCCTCAAACTGTGACTGGATATAAACAATTTGACCAGTTGTCACGACAAGAAATCTGAACCTATATTTGTTAAGGGGGCAAATACTTTCATACAGCACGGTAGTTCTGCTAAAAATCTTTATTTATTGTTCTTTAAATATTTATATTGTGTTATTCTTTCCTGGAAGAAACAAAAAATACATCCAGAGTCTGGAGTATTCACGCACAAAATGCATTTTTCTTCAAAGCAGAAGGAGATTTGATCTGGCTGCTCTGTGTTGCAGCCCCTGATTGAACTGACTAAATGCTGTCAGTGTATATGACTGTTTCAGCTTTGTACTGTGTGTATAATACAAATCCTGACGAGTTATAAGAATGAACAGAATGTACAGAGAAATATAAATATTTATGGAGTTTATATATTTCCATTTTGCATGCGTAGGTAAGTGTGTATCTTCACTCGGGTTGGTAGTGAGATATGAATGATGAGGGAATTTCATCAGCCAGGACTCTAACATGTAAAGGAGTGTGTTTTTTTGGCTCCATACTTTTTGTGGCCCCTGATCGTATAAATCATTTTAAAAATATGGTACCTTTAGTTTAAAATGAGCCAAAAATGTTGTATCAAGCAAGAAGGAAAAAATAAAAAAAGACAGCACAGTGGTTTATGGCTGCACTAATGATGCATGTTAGAAAATAATATTTTTGTTTTATGTTGTACACTGGCAGACTTAGTGGTCTTGTTTTACTCTGGAATGTTGGGTTTTAAACTTGAACTACATGATTTTCTGGTTGGTCTAATGGCCATGCCTTTTTTTTTTTTTTTTTTTGGTAAACCATAAAAGAAGGTAATGAATTTGGCTGAAAATATTTTCTTACACTACAATGATTAACATTTGATTTTATTTTGGGCAGTGGAAATATTTTCAAGCACGTGAGACGTGATTACATTATTTTATAGCTTTTCACAAAAATGATTTCCTTCTGTTAAGACTACGTATCTTGCATATTAAATTTTCCCTTGCAAAATTTGCTGTGTATATATGTATTAAAAGAAAAATATCAATCCATCAGTTTCTTTACCTGGTGAGTTCTGTTCTTGATCCTGTCCCAGAGACAAAGAAAATATGATTAAGAGGGGAAAATTATACAATAAGATAAAAATATGAGTTGACCAAGACAATGTATGAGTACAGATTTTATCCATCTGCATTTATAAGCAAACAACTTTCAAGTAAAACTCCAGTAAGGAGTGCATGTTTTAATAATCTTCCCAACTAGAACTGATTGGCCAGTTTGATTGGTCAATGTCCAATCAGAAGAGAGAATAGTTTTGCTGCATTTAGAGACCCCAGGACATCCATGCTAATATTAGACTTAATTTTACCGTTTACAAACGTAACCTCTCATCACTTTGTCAGTCAAACAGACCCAAATAACGTACGTCTATGCAGGTCAGAATTTAATTCAGATCGGCTCAATTTCTTCCAAAAGAACCCTAAATATAGTCTGATATGATTATATGGAACAAAGTCACATTATCATACAGTTCCAGTTTAAAAAAAAGTTATCCGACTCAGGAAGTTGGAAAAAAGGATGAAAATATCTTGCCTGGGTGCCAATATGCTGTTGGTAGCTACCGTGTGATGGTGTTTATTTAATGCAGAAACAAATTAAAATAAAAATAAAAAATAAAAAAAGATCTGTTTTTCCAGATCAAGGTAGAGTCTTAATGGTTTGCATTTCAACTTGTTTATGTTATTATACTTGACAACGTTTTTTTAATCACACAGCTACCCCAAGCAACATAAAAGATCTGGCTTCTAAAACAGATCGTACTATTAATACAGAGACACACACTTAATTATCCACCTTGATGCTTATTTCAGATTAATCAAGGCAACTTAGTTTATTGTGTGTTTTTTTTTAATCTGATGGGCTTTCTTGCACAGAGAATAAACACTTTATAAAGTCTTGTTTTACAGTATAAATTTTTCTATTAAATAAAAAAAAATATTAGATTTGTAAAAGCAGCAGTTTTAGAACAAAATGATGTTTGTTGTTATGATTACTCCTCTGTGTTTTCTCTGGTCGTTTTGAGATTTCTATAAGAGCAGAGAGGATCAAAACAGCATGCACACACACACACACACACACACACACACACACACACCCAAGACAGTTTCAAAGAGGGAAAGAGAAGCGACACAAGGGACGGGGAGGGAGCCACCCTGAGGATACCATGGGAGGCTACAGCGTAAGAGAGGATTTCGACTGTGCGCTGAAATAGAGGCGATATAAAAATGATGCGTATTTTCATCTTTGTTCACTGAAACTTTATTTCACTTTAAGATTAATGTTTAACCACGCGCTCTCCTCTAAACAAACAATACTAAAATGGAGCAGCGGCGCCATAAGAAAATAAAACCAAATCGACAGACAGGCAGTGCATACAGATAACAAGTCTGCAAACAAAACAAATCTTCATTAACAGCGTTAAATCATTCAAATAGCTGCTCGTTCTGACCTCGCACTCATACTGTACATGTGCCACACCTTTCCCTGCTCCCATCATGCTTTGCCCACATGTAGACAAACAGCGTGGTGTCATTTTTTTTTATTTTATAGCAACAATAAACGTAAAGGTCCCCATGCTCGAGGGGGGAGGGGAAAGCTTCATTTTACATGCCCAGCATTTCTCGAATGAGTCTGCATGCAATCAGCCTATAACACTGTATCGCCAGACCAACGTCTAAATATTAAAAACTCTCACAGGAAACCAAAATCGGTAGTCACCAGTGCAACTTCATAAACTGTCCGAGGCACTGACGTGCATTTAAAGGTCAACATAATCAATATTCTTCTTATTATTATTATTGCTATTATTATTATACCGAAAACATGTAATACGGAACTGAGTAGAATTTCTTTCAGCCACTTTAGTTAAAAATGTTGAATACATTTCCCCCTGCAGGGTTTATTCTTTTAATGCAAATCTTGATTTGATTGGAGCAGAGTGCAGAGCATTAGAGAGGAGGAGTTTCACCAGATTAAAAAAAGAAAAAAAAAAGAAGAAGAATTAAATAAAACCTGTCAGTCACACCTCAAACAAGTTTTCTATTGCTTCATGAAAGTGAAGTAAGCAGAGAGTTGGCTCCCACCGCTTGCTGCCGACACCGGGGATGATTCGTGCAGGACTGTTCAAATTTTTAATCCCACCCCAGAATTTCCATGATTTCCTGCATCTTTGATTGGTTACTGGGCAGCAGAAAGAGGGACCTGTCAGGATCATTCATACTGGAAACAGGATGCTTAGAAACACGCATCAATATTCAGTCCTCAGCTCTAAAGATGTATACACTGAAGGGCGGCAAGAGGGGGAAGTCAGTCATTCAATCAGGCAAAAACAAGGACGACCGCAATGCACATCTGCCCAATGGGTAGAAAGTTGTTCAAAAGCAAATCGTGTCATAAAAGATTTCCCAAATAGCCGGGATAAAACACCTTTGCTTTAATCTTTGTCATATAGAGATCTACTAGGAATCTACTTCTATAAATGCAGCTGAAATTTCAAGAAGTCAACAGACGGCACCGTTAACAACCACACCCATTTAAAAAAATGGCCAAGCACATCCCCAGTGCCAGACTCACAACTCCTCTGTGATCAAAACACAAACTGAGGTTTCAAATGCGCCAAAGTGACAGCAAAACTCAAACAAATCGGACATCAATTTTAAGTGTTCACATCTTTAGGATTCCTAGCAGGTGCAGTGTGCTTAAAGAAACTCTATTGAGTCCGTTTCAGCTAAAATCCTTTTACTGTTTAATTAAGATCGGACCGGATGGCACCACCAGCCACCAGATGTCTCTGTTCAATTGGCATGTCCTACCAGGGAAAATCAGAGCTTAAAAAGCAAACTGTCCTCTTTTCCATATTGTCCATTTCTTGGAGCCCAGTGTTTACGGCCTGGCCATAAAAAGTCTCTGCACGTTTCTTCTGGTTTAACCCAACTTTCTATCCGGTTCCTTTCTATCATAGCAGCAGGTATCCAGCCCCGAACGCACGATAGGCACATTAAGAACGACGTCACTATTAAATTCACACTACTTCAGAACAGAAAGAGAGACAACCTAAACGGATAAATCACATTCACTAACCACTGTAACCAAAGCTCCTGATTAACCAACTTTCATACAGAATTGTGCTGCTTTGAGTATTTCCTGTAGTTTTCATCCCAGTCTATAGGCAGTGAGAGTAATACTGACACACATTGTTGCTGACAGAAGCTGTTGGCATGTAACTTTGGCCAAATCACCATTCACACACACACTCACACACACACACACACACACGCACACACACTCACCCCACACAAATCTACAACATCTTCTGGGTAAAGTAAAGTAGGCGTAGCGGCCACAGCCCTCTGCCCTCTTTGCACGCTCTTTTGTGAACTCACAAGGGCAGCCTTTGTGTGCCGTCAGAGTGTGACCGAGTGCAAGCATGTCGGAGGAGCATGTGCATATTTCCTCCCTCGTGTCCGATTATAGATGAGTCTGTGTGCGCGGGTTCTGGTATTTGCCACTCTCCCACTGCACTGGCTCCTGTCCCACCAGTCAAAGGGGGACGGAGGGATAGAACGGACTGTGTTTTTTGTTTTATGCGGTTGAAGCAGGTGTTGAGGTGGGTGGACAGGGCAGGAGGGATCCAGGAGGGAAGGCAGTCGCTGTGGCAGAGGTGGCATCGGAGATATTCCTTCAGCTTTCGCTTGCCCTCACGGTCTCTGAGCTTCTCGCGGTCCTCCAACATGGCCGAAGGCTCTTATTGCGAACATCGGGGATGCAGCCTCAATCGTCCGTGTCGCAGCAAACAATAATAAATAGCATATACTTTTCACACTTGGAGCAGGCAGAACACACTCCTGGGAAGATCCGAGCCCGTTTAAAAACAACGCGAGGACGGGACTTTCAGTTTACTTTGTCGTTATTGTTGGAGTGAACAGGCTGGCACCGAGCTGAGCACGCAGCTGCTGGAGAAGAGGTGGAGGAGGAGGAGGGGGGAGCCGGTTTGTTGGTGGCAGAGGGTTCTCTGGGTTTATGTTTCTGATGCAGGACGACCGCAGCCAGAATACTGATGATGTGGACGTGGAAGTACATAGATCTGTGGGGAAAAGGAAACCGAGTGCGACTCGTCAAATATTGGCATTTATTCAGTGTGTGAGCAGAAAGGTTGATCACTTAGGACATTTTCAATCAAAAGAACAATTTTTGTCCTCAGTCCAGTTAAATAAAACTGGTTTGGAGATGCAAATATTACATGCCCTTTTCAAAAAAAAAAAAAAGAAAAAAGAAAACTTATGATTTTTGACAGATATGTACCACACAGGAAATGTGTTGTCATTTTTAAAGAACTATTTAATACCTATTTTTAGATTTTAAAATAAAAAAAAGACATCTAACGTTTTCTAAAAGACGATTGCAACATTTTCTTAAATGGGACGATGATATTTGCACATGGTTTCCATCCCAATACCAAAAAAAAAAGAAAAGAAAAAATGATCAAAAGAAAAATGATACTTTCAGTATCATTCTGCTGTAGAAATGAAACATAATTATTCCATGTAAAAACTGAAAAGTAGCTAAAAGCTGCATTTGTTCCTTTATCAGTCTTAGTCAAACTTTTTTCAGAGCCACTGTGGAAAATTCCTAAAAGGCACTTTGTGGCTCTGGAGCTCTGATTTAGAAGATATAAAGTAACACTGCTACAAAAATTAGTCTCTACACCATGAAAAGCCACCAAATGAATCCATGCATCTGAAACTCCACAAACCAAACCGGTTTGGACAAGCTTTCCAGAAACAGATATTCAAGCACATCATTTTTTTATTTTTTTAAATATATAATTTAAAAACAAATTACAGATTTTTTTCCACCCCTTTGTAAAAAAAAAAAAAAAAAAATCTCAGATATGCAATGCGTGCAAAGATGGGCGTTTACTTTCATGCTTGAATTTTTTTTCCAAATGTTGTCATGATACAGATGCAGATCTGATTGCTGTGGTATGCATAGGTATTCTGACCCACCGTCTCTGTTCCCACTAAACAAAATCCAGTGCAATCAGTTGCTATCAGACATTATCTACCTGGTAAATATAGTTAAAATGCGGTGAAATACATTTGAACGTGAGACCGGGCGTTCTGTCAAGGCAACGGTGACTTCACAGAAGCATCATGTTTTTTTTGTTTTGTTTGTTTTTGTGGTCAGAGTTCCTAGATATGGCACACTTTTCATGTTTTTCTTGTTTGTAAAAATGTGGAAAGGTGCAGTAGAGGTGAATAATTTTGCAAGGCTCTGTAGATTCAGAGAGAGGCTCTGCAGAAGCATGGAGCACGTACCTGTAGAAAACTATAGTGTGTTCCACTGAAAGAAGGAGAAAAGGCATGACGGTGTAGCAGATGGCTAGCTGGGTCGCCGCCCAAGTTACAATGTCATAACCGAGCTTCAGGACTCTGGAGCCAATGAAGTGGTGCCTAATAGACCTCCGTATCTGGTGCAGAGAGGGACAGAAAAAAAAAAAAAAAAAAAAAAAAACATAAATAAGGATGAGTTAATTTTCTGTTAGCTCATTTCTATGAGCTTTCAGTGTTGAAATTCCAGAGAAGGAGGTTTACTCACAGCCCTTGCTGCTATCGTAATGGGGATAGCAGTGATGAAGGTGAAGTAGTAGCCTGGATAAACGCCGTGCCACAAGGCGGACAGGATGAAGGTCAACGCCAAGCGGTGTTTCGCAGCTCGGTCATAACACACCCTGAAAAACAGGGAGAAGCGCATCGCAAGTGACCGACACCTATTCTGGGTTCAAGTGTGTGAATGGGTGTGAGAGTTATCATCATCTGAACTCACGTTTTGAGCCAAATCCCTGTTTGAATGTTCCAGTTGTCTATGAAGGTCTTAAAGCTGGTGGCTGTCTGAAAAGAATCAGCATCCAGACTGTGTTCATTTGGTCATGCAACTTCAATACATAAATCTAAACAGTGTGAAAATGACACAAACAGGATCAAATACTTGAATGGACTTCTGCTAACTCTTGGATAACCGTCCCTGAGCGGGTTGCAGAGAAACCAGATGTCACTGTAGTCCTCAACAGGCGTCAAGCATCTTCTGATTGAATGCTTGACCTCTTTTCATCAGAATTAGCAGAGCTTCAACATGGTGCTTCCTTGGAACAGACACACAGCCCTCATGTTTCCAGTACATCTGAGCTATTCCAGAAGCTTTCTGTTCCTAAAACCAGTTTAGACGTGAGTTTCAGATCATTGTCCTGCTGGAGCACACAACAGTGTCCAGGTTCCAACCAAAAACCCAAAGGGGTTTTCATTTATACAGCTGGTATTATGGTGACTTATTGCTAAACACCACAGCCAATTTCATTTCCACTGAGGGTGTGCTGTTTGGGTCAAAACAGCTAACACGAGGGCAGAATTGGGTTTTCCAACAGCGCGGTGATCCCAGACCTGCATAAGCACTACCTTCCAAAGGCTTTCATTGAGCTTCCCTAAGGCTGAGTCTGTGCCAGAACAATGACGGAGTTAAATGAGCTCCACTGTTTCTGAGAGGAGAGCCCAAACACCCAGCCAGAATGTCGCCAGAGACTACTTGGTTACAACATAAAGTGTGTCAAGAGTTGAAGATGTATATATTTGAATCTACATTTATTAATTTGGCCTTCCACGAATTACAGAATACAAGCCGAGCCCCTAATAATAAAACTCCTGAAACCAGTTCTTGTGTTCAAAAAGTTATTGAATTAACATCACACGTTAAATAATGAAAAGATGGAATGTAGCAGTAAAAACCCAGGCTACCTCAATCCCTATGATGTTGAGGTTGGAGACGAGATCCCAGCAGGGTTTTCCACTCCCATCCATCCCCAGGAAGCCGTAACCTGCTGCATTGTTTACTGCATCAGCTGAAAACGCATGCAAACATATTTGTGCAATCATTAAGGATTAAGAAATAAAGCTACCTATCAAAGACTGCTGTTAAAGGAAGTGGGGATGCACTACTGTTCCAACTACTGTGAAGCCTAAGCTGAACAGTTTTCAAGTAAACGATAATATTACTCACTTTGGTGACCTAATGTATTTGTGTATGTTGCAGATTTAAACCCCTGTTCACTCAGGAGGCGGAGCACGCGCTCAGAGCTTACCGAGCGTCCAGGCAAAGTAGAACTTGGGTCTTGCTGCTTGTATGGAGAAGAACGCGTAGGTGAGCCTGCTGAGGAAGGAGGCGTGGCCAACAAAGTGGTCGTCTACGTTGTAAGTAATCGGCAACGACCGAGTGATGACGAGGAAGAAGAACATGCACCCGCAGCAGACCAGCAGCTTTCGACAGACTGCGTTCTGGGAAGAACAAAATATATATATATATATATATATATATATATATATAAAACAATTTAGATCCATGATTTCACCTTTACACCTAAAGTTTATTTCTTATTGTGCTCTGAAAAACTAATATATAATATGCTTACAGAGCTATATTCTTTATTTCATACTGGGTGAAACACAACAGAGTTTGATGTGAAAAGTAATATTAAACAAAGACACTGTACTGATAAAAAAACTAGACAACAACAAAAAAAAAAACCCAGCTGGTTAAGGAGGATTACGAAGACGAATCTCTATTCTTTAATTCCTAAAATTACATGAAAAACCATTGCAAACCAACGAACAAATATTTTATCTCAGTTTACACTCCAGCAACACTGTCTCACGCTGCAACAGGAAGCTACCAGACAAATATGGGTTAATGAGCTTACAAGAGGAGATGGGTGGGGTATCTTGTCGTAACCATTTTGCCCGTTACATGTTCCCGAGTGCTGCTTCAGCCTCCAGCTGATGTGTTTGCCCTCTATGAAGTCGATGTAGTCCTTATAGTTGCTGCAGGGCCCGACCAACACACTCAGGAAGTTCAGATTGTAACTCAGATACTCGATAAGAGACGGCCTCACACTGCAGGGAAAATGAGAAGCAAATTACATTTAATTTTCCTACAAATCTAAAAATAATAGTAATAAAAATCTAGGCAGATAATCTGCTTATGTTTTAACTTTGCACTTTAGGCCAAATGCTGCACAATTATAATAATAATAATAATAATAATAATAATAATAATAACAATACATGTGCTACGTGAGCATTTCCGCATTTTCTCACATTACAGCCATATACTAATATATTTTATTGGGATTTTATGTGAGCAGTTTACTATTACGAAGTAGAAGCGAAATGTTTTCAAGATTTTTTTCCTTTTTCTAATAAAATTCTGAAAAGTGTTTGAATTCAGCTCTTTTTTCTGACATCCCTAAATGAAATCAACTGTCTACCCTCAGAAGATAAACCATCCAAGCTTTGAAGAAAGTAGATTTAGTACAACGGTCTGCAGAATTTAATGTCCATCGCACACCGGCATCAACATTTTCCTTCCACTTCTCAGTTATGAATTACTCTGTGTTGGTCTGTCACGCAAAATCCCCAAATCCCCACAGCTCCAGTGTGAAATGTGAAGCACATGCTGCTTTCACATAAAAACAAAAACAATTGCAAAGTGAACCGGACTTACACGCTTCAGACAGCACAACAGTCAACTGGCTGGTCACAGAGGTCACATTAAAACAGAATTAAGGTCAGGTTGTAAAGTGTAGAAAGCAACAAAATCTGAAGATGCATGTGATTGGAACACCACGCTTTACGTTTTAAGTCATTTCAGGGGGGATGCGTGGTTTGACGACAGCAATTCAGTCATTTCACATGCAGAAAAATGCCCAATGTCTCATGCAGAATGAGGTCTCTGTTCTAGGTTTCCAGCATGCTGCTTTTAAGGACAAGCTATTCACCATGATTTCACGGCCATGTCATTGTCCTCGGCTGCTAAAGGGAAAGAAAAAGTTTTCTTTTATTCTTTTAACAAAGTGTTAGTTCAGATACAATCCTCTAGTTTTTAAGCATCAGATCTCCCTCCTATTGTTTTCACTGATGCTTGACAAGAGAGTGTAACCAAGAGCAGCTGAAACGGTCTTTCAATGAAAAACCTACCGTATAGCCACATGCTTCTGCTCCAATGTCAGCTCTTCACTTTTCTTACACATCCCTGAAATGATTAAACAACGCAAATCTAAATCCGTGCTTCACTCTGTCATAAAATGTAGGCACGTTCAAATTAGAATGGAATTATTGCCAACATCACAAATATGACTTTTCCTGTTTCAAACTGCTCGAAAGTTATTATCCATAGAGTTTGTTTTTGGTGACTTAAAACATGTCTGTCTGGCTTTTGTCGAGTTTGTGTTTTTGTGGATGTATTCAGATGTCTTACCGTCGTGCAGATGGAAAGCCAGCATGGTTATCTTCTGGGTAACAATCATCAAAGGTCTATTCAGAAAAAAGGAGGAGCACCAGTTTATTAATTTATTAGGTTCTAGTGATTCAGTTGCTTCCACAGCAGTTTGTGAAATACAGTTTGCAAATTACATGAAAGCATACAAAAGAAACACACACCATGCAAAAGATGAACAGAATTGTATGCAGTGTTAAAACCTGAGAAATCAATGGTAAAATATTGTGCTGACTGGGCTAGGATGACTGATTTTACATCTGGGAAAAATATATATCAAAGCAGCTTTGAAAAAATCTAAAGACAACTGAGCAATATAGAAAATAGGCTCAAAAAGAAAATTGTTTTACAGGAATGCTACCAAAAGTGAAAAAAGCATCTAAAACAAAAAAAAAATGCAGATCACATAAAGATACAGCCCTTTTACACAGACAAGCTGTGTGAAAAGGTTAAAAAATATTAATCTTTTAGTAGTATCCTCTTAGACTGAACATTTTAGAAAATGTCAACCTCTAATTTGGTTGGGAAAAAAGTCCCAGCTTAAGAAATAAAAATGGTTTAAAACCACACGTGGCATAATAGTTTGTATCTCTTTAAATAGATTTAACTGTGCTTTTACTTTAACCTGTGATGGACAGAGAATCTGTCCAGGGTGCCAACCTAAAACTATTGACCATTGGAAACAACCACTGAGAACATGCAAGGATTAAGCAGAACAGAAAACTTAAAAAAAAATAAAAAAAATGGCCAGACGTTCTAGAAACCTCTAATTTTTACTACAGAAATTCATGCTGCGGCATGAATATGATATGGCGCAAAGGATATTGAGTCACTGGGCTGTTTTTGGACCCATACTCACCATGAGCAGTAAGCATGATGAGAAGGCATGTTGGAAAAAAAAAAAATCCCCAAATTTCACAGTTGGATAGCTGTGTTACAAGTAAATGTAGCAGGCCCTGACTTTGATACACAGAGTACTTGGAGATGAAGGAAAATAAATCAGCCACATTAGTATCTACTCGGCATGAAGGCACATGAATTACACACAGCAGGCGTACTATGACAGGCTCTGAACCTCATTACCAACATCTATGCACTGAGCTGTCAGTGAAGTCAACTTTTAGAATTTTGAAGCATTTTTCTAAATGATTATTTGGTGTAAACTGTGGGAACTGCAGTGGCAGAGCCAGGCAGTAGGAAGATCTGATGTTTATGTTGGCCATTTTACAACTGCAGCTACAGTCCACGACACTTTTATAGGAAAACAACACATTTCTCTCACGAGCAGGGAGATCAGATAACTGTTTGGTTCTGTGGGAAATTTTGGAATTGTGCTCTTAAACATTAGTAAAAGTACACAAAATAACAGCACAACTCAAAAGACAAAAATCATAGCATCTCCAAAACAGTGTGGCTGCCTTTTGCAGCAGGATTTTGTTCTCATAAGAGTGTAATTTTCTGACACTGAAACACTCTCTCAGCTGGAGTTTGCTGTGGGAAGAGACAGATTGTGCCTTCTCTGGTGAATTGATGCGTCCTGTTCCAGCAGAGGCAAATCGGGTCACTTATTAATCCACTGCTATTTATTCTAACCCTCGGAGTTTGGCTGAAGCATCTACCTTCACGTTTTAGCTCGCGACAAAGCACATCCTAAAGTTTCCACGGCACCAGAACAACTGCGTTTTCTGCCCTCGGCTTCAGTTGCTATAAGTCCAAGACTTTGGATTCTCCAACACCTCCTGCTTTGTTCACATTACACACACAGGAATGTGATAGCATGTCATTCCCAAAGGCACATACACTGTACGCCAGATCCCCCCCCCCATGCACAAACGCACCCTTAAGCACACTCTCGTTCCTCTCTCTGAGTGGACTGCATTGTATGCATGGAAAGCTGTAGAAGGAAGAGGAGGCAGGCCGTGTGGCTGGCAGTGCCAGCTCATCAGGAGTTGGTCGAGAGGGGCTGTAAAAGAAACATTATCAGAGTCCCACCCAGCAGCAGCATGTTCTCTGCTCCACTGCTGCTCACAGACTGGGCTTTACATGCAGACTGTACAATTATTAGCTTATAGAAAAGTCCATGAGCAAACAGGTGTCTGCTCAAACTTGGGAGGTGAATCCAAATCAAACAGGATTTCTGTCTGCAGAAAACATTAACGTAGACAACCACCAGATAGCAATTTTATGTCACAGCGCTTTGTACAGGCATGAACCTTTTCCACCTTTTAGCACATATTCAAGATTTTATGTATTCCAGTGGGACCAAAACTAAATGGTCTATAGTAGACAAGTGGAAAGGACTATTATTTCTTCTTTTTTGTTGTTGTTTTTAACAATTAAAAATCTGAAATGTGTGGCATGCATTTGTTTTCAGTCCCACTGAGTCAATGCCACATTTTGGGTCTTTTTGGGTGCTTCACTAACAAACATCTAGAAACGCATCTAGAAACAACGTTTTTTATCAAATCTTTTTTCAAACAATGAAGATCAATTCGATTGCCTTGCCAAATATTTTCAGTTGGATAAAGAATAGGACACTGATTAGGCCATTCTGACACATGAACACGTGTTCATGTCTCTAAACTATCCCTTGTTGTTGTGGCGGTATGGTTAAGGTCATCCTGGTGGAAGGTAAACCTCAGGCCAGAGCTCAAGTCCCAGCCTCTAAGAGGTTTAATTCAAGTACTTTTCACGATTTTAGCTCCAATTCCTTAACACTGAGCAGCTTCCATGTCCTTGTTGAAGAAGAGCATCTCCCCAGCATGATGCCGCCAACCTTTTCTAACTCACCGATGCCTGAAAGCCACAAATCAAAGTGGGATGAATATGAATGCATGTCATATTTTTCCAAATTTTGTACTGTATTTTTCAAAACAAATCGAAACTTATATGGTTTTCCTTCTACTGCACAATTACGTGCCACTATCACATAAAATCACCATAGAATACAGACATCTGTGGTTATTAAATCAAAAGGGTTCAGGAAAAGTTTATCATATTTAGAGGACTTACAACATCATCTGCTAAAGATGGCTGTAAAAAAAAAAAAAAAAAAAAAAAGCCTGACTCTGAGTTGGATCCCTAATTCAATATACGACTGTAGGAAAATCTGGATCACAGGCCTGACAGGAAGCAAAGTCACATGGAGGACAAGTGAGGCTGCCAACTAATTCATCCGCAGTGGAACCAAACAAAAAACACTGGGGAACACAGTTCGTTGTTCCCTTCATCCAATCAAACAATTAGAGTTTGCTGAAAATGCTGGAGTTAATGTTTTAAACGACATAATGCAGAGCCGATGTTAAATCCAACTAACGTGTGCTTTGTATAGAACACTGGACCACTTCGCCATACTCGAGTGAAACCAACTTAAAAGCTCCGGTTCACACAATTAAGAACTGATTTGATCGCCTACTCCCAATCGGATCTCGCTTTCCTGTTCGATTCCATTCCTGAACACAAACAAACGAAACACGCAGAACAGAGAAAACCACAGAGACCCACAGTTAACTGGGTGGGCAGCGTCACCTGTGAGCGGCGTGTCCTGCTGTATTCAAATCAGTGGCGCCGTATTGACACAAGGATGTGGCAACAGTGGAAGCCCGCGCTGTTTGGAAATGTTAACCGACAGCAAAAGGCGCAGCTCTACAACCCGACTTCCGACCAGGCCGTGTCATCGAGTGGGCGTGGTGAGGCACAGGTGAGGATTTATTCCGTCCTTACCCGGAGAAGTCCGTGGAAAGAATGCCGTAGCTGTAGATGAAGACTCTGCTCACGTGGCACGCTGTCAGATAGCCCATCGATGTCACCATGGAGTACCTGTGTGTGTGTGGAGAGAGAGAAAAAAAAATAAGTAATGCAGACAAAAGCCATTCAGAATATCTTTGTTGAATGATCATAGGTGTGACTGAAGCGTTTTCCACCTCTTGGTGAGTCATTAGATGACTCACAATTTCTCAGTTGCTGGAGTGTTTTTGTGAAACTTCTTGGAAAATCTTTTTTTTTTTTTTTCCCTGATAAAGCTTTTAAGAAGTTGTGAGCAATATTAGGAAATCCAGACAATTTACTGGATAGGATGCGACAATTGCCACAAGAGTACGCCGTACAATTTCTGTGAGTTTCCCCATTTCAATCACAAACTTCAGTGCATTTTCTTGGGATTTAAACTTTAAACCCACCACAAAGTAAAGAGAACTGTCAAGTGAAAGGAAGGCGTGGTTTTCTAAATTTTTTTATGAAATAAGCATCGTGTTTGATTCATAAGGACTGTCTAAGTAACCAAAACATGTGAAGTGAAAGCTTTGATCAAGAACTTGATCAAATAATGATAAAACTCAGGTGGAGATCTCTGATTGTGTGGCAATTTATACACGGTCACATGAAAAGCTTTAAAACTCCGAAAGTATGGAGAGAGAGAAAAAAACAATCATCAGAGGAAATGTATACATTTTCCACAACAACCTTAAAAAAAACAAAAAAACAATCTGAAATATTGAACATGTATCAGCAGTTCAAAGTTTGGCTCGATGTATTCTTTCACCTTATCTTGAGCCAGTGAAGGGGAAGCTCAATTTTGGGTTTCAAAAGCTTTTGTTTACAGCCAACAGTGTAAAGGTGATCTTTATGCCACTCTGCTGGCAGGAATTCCTTGCACACACGGATAACACAACTTGTCTTACCTCATTCATATGACTTTGTTCATGAAGACAAGCTTGAAACAATGCTTGAGGAATGTAAACAACAGAATCAAGCAGACAGACAAATGGAAAAATATGTATGTAGCACATTAAAAAAACAAACAAAAACAAAAAAAACTAAAAAATATTTACAATCAGACTGTCCTTATAAGTCAGGAATATCAGGCCGCCTTGCATCTCCTCTTTAGCTTGAGGTTTTAAAGACAACGCTCTTTATAAAGGGTGGATTATGCGACTGATTGCATTGTGAGAATGCACGGATGGAAGTGGTTTCGCTCAAGCAAGACAAAAACAACTCTAACAATTTTCCACACGATAGATAATCGCCATCGTTGTAAGTCTGAAGTAAGCCCACCTGTAGTTGTTTTGGTTTCTGGGAGGGACCGATCTAGTCTGACAAGATTAACCTGAAATCAACAAGAACCATAATCGCTAGGGCTGTCACATGAACTCTGAAAATAGAGTTCTAGGAAACAGATCTGTCGTCCGTGTGTCGAAATGACAAGTTAGACATGTTTGTCGGGTCCAGATACACCGTTTTCCTAATTGAAAACCACAAGACAAGTGAGTCCTGACAAGTTCACTTAGCGGTATGAAGGAAAACCCTTGCCTGTGTACGTTGCTGATGTCAGCTTTGATGATGAGGAAATAGTTAACAACCACCACAGCGAGGATATGGGTAGAATACCTGCAGGAAAGAACGCACACAATCAAAGAAGATATGTGTTGAATTTCAGATCTGCATTTATGATGACGTCATTATGTTTGAATGGACTGATTTGTAAATAAATGGACATAAATGGGAGGCGGCGTGGGACAGTGTTACACCGTACCATCCGAAGCAGAAGAGGAGAAAGGCGACTCCTAGGAGCGTGGCGACAGCATGCCGGACCATGGGGCTGACATGGTTAGGACTGAGGTAGAGACGGAACCAGAAGGCAGCAAGCAAAGCACACAGCTGGCAGGCCAGGAAGTTCACCTGCATTGGAAGTGGGGACGGGGGGGCGGGACGGGGGGGGGGATCAAAAAAGGAAAAAAATGAGTCTAGAGCGGCGCAAATGCTCTGGTTGCATTTAAGTTGGGGTTTATCATAAACACCTGAAAATGAGGCTGCACAATATGTCAAATCCAAATCATCATCACTGTATTAATAATCATCTGAGATGGATTGTTGGATAGGCTATCCATTAAAAGTCTAGTTTACAATAATACATGTGGTCACTTATATGTACTCCAAGAATCCATTATGCCAGCCAGTCTGGTTTTAGTCTGGATGACACTAATCAACCAGCTAAAGCCGACATCATCACAAGGTCCTTTGCCTTGGTTCTGGGATTCATGCACACATTTCACCTCAAAGCACTCTGTCCTCTGGGACACAGAAAACAACTTTTTCCATCATGGCTGAACTAACCCACATTGTTTATATTTGTAACATAATTGTTTTACCAGATGGACATGGCAGCTTCATGCATCTGGAAATTGTGTTTTTAAGGATGGACCAGGCTTGTGGAGGACATCTATCCATCCATCAATTAAGTTGTTTTTTATTCTTTGTTCTAAAAACCGAAAAATTTTAAACAAACTTAACTTTAGTCCTTAATTTCACTAGATAACAAAAAACATAAACTTAAGGAAAATGTGGGGGATTTTTTAAGGGTCAACTAAGTTTTCCGGCTCTAGACAGATCTAATTCAAAATGAAGACAAAAGGAGACTGGTTGGACTGTAGAGGTTGCCGACCCCTGACCTAAGAAGTACTCATTTTACAAAGAGTCAGGACTATGGCTCACACAGGACATGAGTAAAACAGAGGAGAGGACAAGGCTGAAGTAATTACATCTTTTAGTCTCTGATATTAACTGCTGGCCCCTAACTCACGACATATGGTGAGAGAATAATAACACTATATAAAACAAATAGAATAAAATAAACTGATGGTATTTTTGTTTTTAATATTATTAGTGTCTGGCTGCCCATAAACCTGGGGGCGTGCCGCCTGCGATAAGCGGCTGGATATTTATGCTTCCTAATTTAGACAGATCAGCAACTGTTTTGATTTTGGACATAGACATACACGTCTGTAGCCTCTGACGTCAGGAGCAGCGACGTTGGCGTAAATGTCTACGTCTCCTCACAAACAAGAGTTTATTTCCATCAGCCCATACATTAAATATCCCGTCCCGACGTACATTAAAAGAGAACTGATGTGGCGTCAGTTTTAATTCATAAAAAAAAAAAAAAAAAAACGTCCCTCTGCGGTAAAAGTTTGACTCATGTCCGATTTGTCCTACCTGGTCCAGAGATAAGCCCAAGTATCCACTGACAGGCAGCAGCCACTTGCAGCCGGTGGTTTTAAATATTGCGTCCTCCCGTTCGCTCATCCTGTGAAGTTTTTCCGTCACGGCACAACAAATTGACGGCTGTTCTTTCAGTCCCCTTTTCTAAATAAAAACCTACGTGATTTTGTCAGTGAATGAGATACATGCTCTGCCTTAGAGGGCGTGTGACAAGCCAAACCAGTCCGGTTAACAGTAATGACAATCCCTCGGACTCTCCTCCTCCTCCTCCTCGCTATTTTTTGCTTGCATCAAGCGCGACGTAATAAGAGATGACACTTGTTCTGGTTAGTGCTTTCAAAATAAAAGTCATTGAAACCTTTTCCACATTCTGTATCTTCGAGGTGCAGCGCTTTAGTTAAATATAATCATCAGCAAAAGTTTCTTTAGTATACAGCTTATTATCCCTTACTTTAGTTCTCGTTTTATGTGTTACTTTAACCGGAACGATATATCTCTAACATGACTTCCGGTGATATTCAGAGTCCTGACAACAGGAAGGAAAAAATAAAAATAATACTGTAATGTGGAAACAAGATTTTATCTCAAGTTTCGACTGATAAGAAGCTATGTTTTGAGCTTGGAAATCCCACAAAAAAAGGTAAATATGAAATCTAAAGAATGAATACTAACTTAATTCATTAAAAAACACAATTTGCTTAAAAACATGACAAACTAACTCAGTGACTTAAAATAGTAAACCTGATTACTTTGTGAACGTATTTTTAATATAGCCATATATTCTTTTTAAATATTTTTTAAACTTATTTTTATTTAATGCCTATCAGTTGAAAAAAAGGTATCGTTCAGTCTTACAGGAAATTAGCATGTTCATTTTGAACAAACTTGATCAAATTTATAGAAGTCAGTTGTTTATGCTACATCATAATAAGTCCAGACTTATCCACAAGTATGGTTTTATGCATGTGACAGATAATCCCAAAGATCTTCAAATTTTACATATGCTCTGTCCCTGTAGGAGACTGAAGGTTTTAAAGAAGTCATATTTTAAAATAATTGTGGTTATGCTGTTTTACTATTGCAGTGATGTGTACTGTTATCCACCTGTTTGCAACAATTGACATACTACACTGCAAAAATAATTTACTCACTCATACAGGGTTTTTTAAAGACTATCTTTGATAACATTGGTACTATTTAATAAATAAATAAATGTAAATCTTCTTCAGGAGCTCAAAGTTTATCCTTGCCTCTCCCACCCCTGGATAAATATGTATATATATATATATATATATATATATATATATATATATATATATATATATATATATATATATATATATATATATATATATATTTATTTATTGCAACAATTATAGGTTTTACACAAAATAGCCTTTTGAAACTGAGCATACTTAAATGAATCATTTTTGTCATTGAATAGTCAAGTACTAAATGCTCCATTGAACTGAATTCTTTTGGAGTTGCTTTTATATATTCTTTAACGCTTTTGGGATTTGTTTCACAAGTCAAAACATTCAGCCGACCTGCAAGAAAGAAAGGAGTTAAACCTTTTATGGCCTCAATTTTGTTTTGCTTCTGTTTAGTGAGACTACCATAGTTACTGGCTTCCTCCTCTTTTCGCCTTAATAGATCACTCGCGCCACCCAGCGTCCATCCCTGAAACACGCAGTGCGTGTCTAGTAACGTCCCCTGTTTACAACTGCCAATTAACACGTGGCTAACCCAAAGTACGTTCCTCATTGGTCAAAGCGGAACCGATATGGGCGGAAACTCGAGTGCGCAGGACCAATGGAATCCGGCATGCAAATTCCGTTTGAAATTTTGCCGGGAAATCTGAGTTTCGCGGGAGGGCTCTTGAGCGCGTAAACCGTATCCCTTCATTCATCAGGCCGTTTCCTGAAGCCATTTCTAGACGGGAGGAACGAGAGTTGCGCTACTTTTAAATCCGTTGCATCTGCCTAAATGCACGTTCTTAAGGAAAAATACTTTTTAAAAATCGATCATTCAGACATTCATCTTCACGTCCGTGTGATTATTTTTGTCTCTGCCGCGACGGATTAGCAGCCGTACGGGCTTTAAAGTTGAGAGACAAGAAAGGGGTTACCCCGAATACGCAAGATGAGAAGAGGGATCTCCTCGGCTCCGGACAAAGTGATTTTAGCAGGGGTTGGGGGCTCCTCTCTGGATAATAATATAATTTTAACAGCTCTCTCGGATCGTTTAAACCCTGGTCAATCTAATACCACGTATATTCAAATAATAACCACCCCACCGCCTTGTAACGTTACACAGACATCAAGTGTGTGTTTATCCGAACCTCAGGTTAACAGCATTTATACAACTCCGCAACAAGCTGCTGCAAACGGAACCGGACAGCGACCCGCTCTGGGAAGACCACCGGTAATAACCTCCACAGCACATTTTTCACACATTTCTCCAGGCTCCGGTGTGATAAAACGTTAGCCTGCTAAGCTAGCCGAGCTTGTTGTTCGGGCAGCTAATGTTAGCTGCTTAGCCAGGGCATTCCCACGACTCAACCCCAGCTATGAAGCTAACTAACTAACCCAAAGAGGTTGCTTAGGAGTTTTGTTGACTCTATGAAGGCAGAAGGCAAGTTTAGGTTAGTTTAACTTTTCTAGGAATGCAGAGGTGCCGTGTAACAGCGAGCTAGCGAACTTCATGGTGCTTTAGGGTCCGCTTCACCTTTGCAGCCAGATGGAAATATCGGTAAGGGATGAGTAGCGTTAGCGCTGGCCTAGTAGCTGCTGTTGATGTCTTTATTTGGGGTTGATGGGGGGGTTGTTTGACTGCCTGGTTTTTAATGGGCTTATATTTAAGCTTCCTAATTGAATACAAGTAGCGAAGCTTTCAAAAGCACAAACTTCCTCACGATTACAGCCTGGCGTCAGTTTAGAAACTACTCGATAGATCTCTCGTCGTCTCTGAAGATGCAAGCCAAGTTGAATCTGGCGTCAAACTGAATTAGCTTTCAAAGCTAGGTGGATTATTGATTATTAGACCAGAGAGGAACATAACTCGTTCTCCTTGACCTATATTTTGAACATGTTTGCATACGCATTTCTCTTTGTTAATAAAGTGACGTTGTGGTGGTGTTTCATGCCAAGTAAAGTGAAACCCAAGTTTGCTGCTTTGAATCTCATTGCACGTTTCCTGTAAATTGATCATGCACAAACCACACGCTTGAGTTTATGCAGAATTCAGGGCGTAGAGCTGTTCATTGCTATTCATCTTTCATGAAGGGAACCAGTTAGTGTGTCAGGCTGTAGCCATGACCAGACTGAGGGGTGAGGGGATCTGCTTGGTGATATAAAATGGCTGACACTTAAAACTGTCAGAGGACATATTCCTGTGTCTTATTATATATTTAAGAATCAGAGACCAGTTTTTAAAGATTTAGACACTTCCTCAAGATACTGCCACCCTCAGAGGTGTTTAAAGAGAAATGCACATTGTTGCTTTGAAACTACAGCATTGTGGGTACTTGCAACACACTTTTGAAGAAGTGCTTTTTTTTATTCCAGTGTTTCACAATTAATTTAAATCAGATGTTATTGCAGGGATGTGTTGGTGCCCTGCAAGGGTTAGGGTTAGAGGCTTTTCTAACATTGTACAGGTAAAATCCTTTTTTAAGTTGTAGAAGGTCCAGTGAGAAGACTTGTACACATTTTTGACTTTTTACATTTAACTTGGATATTATTCACCCTTCACTTGTTTCTAGTTGTGGGAAAAGATACATGCCTTCAAATTGCACTCAAGTGTCTTTACAAATGTGAGGTGACACAAATACAAGTAGAAAGTATGTATCTGTGTTGTGGCCTTAAAATTTTAAGTTGCCTCAGTTAAGTGTGAACCTGCATGACATGCTTTAGTGTGACTGAAGTACTATGGTTTTACTTGAGCAGAAACGTATAACTGTTTTATTTGAAACTGAAAAGGAGTGCTTTTTCTCACAATAACATTTGAAACCTTACATTTAGAATTTGGAGATTTCTTCACTTTGTTTCGTTAGACTTTTAATATAACATCAGTTTTCTTGTAAATCTGCATTTTGTACAATATTTTGTGCAAATACTAAACATTTTATTTTATTTTATTTTTTTCCCCAGTACAATAAACGTTTAACAACTGGATATTATTTTAGTCAGCCTCTACTGAAGTAGTCAGGTTGCAGTTGGCCTCCTAAAATACATGCTACTTGTGGCTAGCCCACACTTTAAGTGTAAAACCACTATAATTCATTAAGTAGGAATTGGTGTCTTCCCATAGTAAACCCAGGATAGTCCTTTTTTTTTATTGCAAACATAATGTTTCTTTACCACCAATTTAGTATTTTATTGTAAGCCAGGATTAAGAAAGTAGTATTTTTTTAAGCCAGCTGACCTGGAGTGTGCAGCAACAGGTGTGAAAAAGGACAGCGTTTCCATAGAGAAGGACGGATGGATAAATCTGGAGCTTCAACCGCACAAACAGAATGCTGAAAGTTTTTACATTTTGAAACCATATTGTACTTTTACACCAGTAGCTTCTGCATGCCTGCTGCAGGGTTAGTTGTGTAGTGACAGAGAAGAATGTACACCTTTAAACTGATACAGTTTTATCATTAAGTGCTGGACGACAAAAATATGCAGATATATTGTTTTTATTTTGATACTACAACTGCACCACTATGCAGTACACAACTGTGTGGTTATGTTTTGGAAAGTAATGAAACCCTCTGTGGGGAAAAATAGGGTTGCAACAAAACTAATCTCAATCATATCTAGTATATTTTTTTCTTAATGGACAGAAGACTAAACAATAATGCTGATCCATAGTTTTAGAAATTTAATTTAGGATTTGGTTGGCAATCTTCTTGAGACACAAATTGATAACTTGTAAAACAAAAGCGATGACCAACTGCAAATATGATATAGGATCAGAATGTATTGAGTTTTTTTTTTTTTTTTTTTTTTGCTTTTTGTTTTTTGTAATATGCAAATATACAGTTCATGTCTCTTGTGTTTTGACACATTCGAGCCATTTGTTAGCAGATTGAGGTTTTTCCACCAAGACTGAAAAATAAGAGCCAACCTCAGGCTACCAGTCACTCCATTGGACCCTGACACTAAAGAACCTCTGACTGGCTGAGCTGGGGTGTTTCAGTGAAATCTTCCATTTGTTTTGCTGTCGTTTAGCCCATACATGTAGTTAGCTTGGATTCAAAAATACCTGTTGCACCCTATGTAGGAGAAACTATC